GCAACAACGCGATTCGTTTTCGCGATCGGTTCACCGGAAACGTATTTTTCGACGTGGAATCCTACGCGTACGAGAATACGATTCGTATCGCGGAGAGGCGCGCGCGCGCGCGCGCGATCATCAGCAAACACCGCCGGGCCATACGCAAGACGAACGCGAGCGAACTGCGTCGAGTGGAAGAATATCTCCAGCGGTTTATGCTTTACGGTGACGCGTTAAACAACGCGAACGAGGCGCGCGCGTTACGTACCCGACCGACGTGCGACGATTATAATTTAAGTGCGTCGGCGACCAGATCTCGTGTTCTTACGCCGTTCCGTCACCGTTCGACGAGTTCACCACGAGTAACTCTGTTATGCATCGAAAAAATGTCGTTTATTTTTCACATTTGTTTTTTTTTTTTACCCATAGTACACCCGTGTTGTCCGTTAAAGAATTTGCAAAATGTCCACAGAATAAACCCATTGAAATTCGACTGTTGATCAGTGGATTATTAATTATAATTTCAACACTATATTTTACAACGATAATACAGTTTTTATTTATTATTATTATTATTATTATTATGAGGTAAACGTGATCGTTATACTCGTTCCTCTGTTCGTGTTGTATTCTATTACAGTACAACTGAAAACGAATAAATATTTTTCTTGTAATATTATCTAATACAAACGTCTTTGACAATTTTTGAACACTTTATGATTTTTCGGCACGGTGTAAAAGTTCGGAAATTTATTTTAAAAAAAATCGCACGTCTTACCGAAAACTTTTTAATAAAATATTTTTTCTGTGTATCGATTCCTCCTACAATTCAATTTGAACCAATTTATTTGGGTCAGTCTATATTGGTTTATATTTTCAAATAAATAAAAGTTGAGTCGGTACAAAATTTATTTGTATGGGTAAAAATTGTTAAAATATCATGAAGAATAAGAAACACCTATCCCGACGGGGCAAATATAATTAACTTAATAATATATTGTGTATAGTAGGCAGCAAATTTAATGACAAAAAAAAAAAAATATTAGCTTATGATTACATCACTAATATATGGTTTAGATATGAATATATTATAAAACTCAAACAATTTATAAGGAGTTGAACATTTTATTTGATTTTAGTGTTTGCTTATAATATTAATAAATAAAAAACTTACATTATACATCTTCGTCATACTTCGTGTCGATAGTTCTCTAATATATTACTTTGTGTATATGTACTTTTTTATTTAATTTTTGTTTAACTTTTTCAATTTAAAGTGTGAATATACTATAAACACTTATTACAATTATAACAACATTTACAAAAATTTAATATACTTAGAAAAAATAAAGTGAAACTGTTCGTGAAATTTTTAGTATGGTACCTATTTTCTCGTTGTTGCCCGTTTTATAATACCACCAATAAACCTAAGCCCCTCCATTTAGCCACTACCAATAATCTGATCATTACAATCACCCTTTTGTGATTGAATTGGGTGGCGGAAAATAATACGAAACATACAATGATGTATTATACATTGTTATTACAGCAACAATAATAATTGTGATTATTATATAACTTCTTATTAGGATTAAAATTATTTGTTTTATTACGATTTCATACTCTGGATCAATGAATTGAAAATATCAATAATTATAAACGCAAACAATAATATTATTTTTTTAACAATTCAAATTATACATTTATAATAATTAATTACAGTGTCTGTACCCAAACTATTAAATGTCATTGCACACAATATGTTATAAGTTTATAGGGTTCCTTATATAAATTTTTACTCTACACCAAAAATTAGTTCAACACGCCATTGAAATTAAGTAATACATAAATTAAGTGAAAATATTTAAATATAAATCAGTAAACAAGAAGAATAATAATACTTTGTTCCTACCAGTTTAAATGTATTTAATTATTTAATTTAATGGTATATTTAATTACAACAATTTTAATGATTAAACTTGTATTGGATTACAAACACGATATAAATGCAAATATTAACCAAGGTACAATCCGATATTTTATGTTTATCCTATATTTATAAAGGTAACTAAAACGTTCACAAATTTTAAATACATAATATACAACTGTAGTATTAAGTGTTACTTTGCAAGGTTAAAACTACACAAATAGGTATAAAATAATATTAAATAAATTCAAAATATCGCAAAATCGCGGTCTTGGAAGTATCTTATGTCATTCATAGTGTGCATGGTTACTATACATGATTATAATAAAAATCAATCATTTTAATAAGCGTTATAAAATAATAAAATTCTGAGAAGAAAAAATAATATTGTAATGATTAATTAAATAGACTACTATTTTTTCGATTATAAATAATAATTAGAAACTCCTATCGGAAAAGAACCGTTGAGTTATTATTAAAGTGAAGCCGAGCATTTATCTCAGGTATAGTTTTTAAAATAATTAAATTTAGGTATATGTTTTCAATGTTACGGTTAATATTTTATATTAGTCAAAACGAATGAAACTGATTTTTTTTTTTGTAAAATTTAATCATCGTGCAATTTAAAATTTATTTTATACGTGTTATTAATATTTTATTGTTGTTACTTCATTATTTTTAGTTCTTTAAGGGATTCTACAAATATACCAATATTTTAAAATAAATTGTAAAAGTAGTTTTTTACAATAATAGGATATTAGAATAAAGCATATAATAATAATAATAATAATAATAATAACATGTAGAAATCATGGTACACTGAAGCCGTATTAGAATTGTACATATTGCAATATATTATTTTATTTTTGTATTTAGGACTAGGCGGTTTAACGTGTGTATCTAATGTGAATTAATGTGAACCGATTGTCGTACATATATTCCATGGAATACAAGTGTTTTCGTCGTCTTTTTACGTAGTGGTCGTACCTTTAGCCATTTTGGCTATTACGCAGTTTCGATAGCTATAACGAACCGTGAAATATCACCTTTGTGCTACTATAATTTATATTTCAAACAGATACAAAATTGTGTACATAGTTGCCCTAGAAAACTACTGTAACTACTAGCAATAGACACATTATTTTTGTAAGTTATAAGCAATAGCTGCTACAAATAATGTATAAAATATATATTATTATAGCGTCATTCATTTAACGTAAGATTGCATTTTTCAACGTAATAATAAATGTCTCATGTTAAAAAAATATATATATATGTGTGTGTGTATGTGTACGTGTGTGTACGTGTACGTGTACGTGTGTGTGTGAATAAATTCGTGTCTAAGTTAATTTTTAATTTTTAATCAATGTTTTGGCATCGATTGATTTTTTTTTAAATTTTATATTTTAAGTGAAAATTTTGTGAATTCTGAAATAAAAAAACTAAAGATGCTTGTTAATTGAAATCACATTTTATATACGAGTAACGGTGATAAAATTTACAGTCATATATAGTTTAAAATAATTATAATCTCGATAATCACATCGATAATTGTTCTTTCAAAATTAACAAGTCACGTAACGGTACAGTATACTTAAACGGATACACACGTGACACGTGGTAATGATAATGATTTGAATAAATTCATCTGTATTGTGTATTTTTATATCTGATTAATAAACATAGAAACATAATTATTATGATGTATACATTTTTACTAAAAAAAAAAAACGGAAACTATTAGTTTGGACTTATACAGGATTGATTTATCTATAGACACCAATGAATTATGTACTACAGGTACTCTTATATAAAAATTATTTCAAATGTAACATTATTATACAAAACGATTGCGTTATTAAATACTTCTCTGACAATCATTTTCGTGTGCTAAACATTGAAAAATTGAATTCAAAAGAATTAGTAATAAAAGTGAAAGGTCTAGAAGTACACAAGATTATAAATATTCAGAGTTCAAATGGTATCGTATTCGACCGTAACAATATTGTAAAACATTAATTTTAGACATATTTGATCAATTTTCAACTTAAAACGCGTAGGTATAGGTAAGCACTCAATTAATTAAACTGCAAAACTACTGCATTGCAATAAACTTTGTAATCTGTATGTATATTTAATAATGTTGAAAAAAATAACTAAAAACTTTTGATGGAAGTAAGTTTTTATTATTTTATTGTGTAACATTTCTTATAACGAAAAAATCGGTAGATATCTAAAATGTTATCATTCAACTTATTAAACAATTTAGAAATTTCTATCTATAATCTTTTTCGAAAAAGTCTTTAGAGAGTACCTACAGAGGTTCATATGAACATACATTTACTAAGAAAAAATTGTTTGAAATAGTTTGGTTAATTTCTACTGCCCATACCGGGAGACAACTAGAACCCGACATCGATGTAATAAAATCGATATTGTCATAGCAACTACTATTATTAGTACCAATAGAATCTATAAATAATTCTTAAATATTCTATTCAATAATTTAGTATCGATTGATTATTATTACAATTAGCAGAATGAAAGTTACATACTGCTAAAAGTCACAATCTTTATCATAACCATTATAAATTTAAATGAATTACTCATTTTCGATTGTTTGTTAAATTAATACTTAGTGGATTATTCTAAACATTTGTTTGCTGTTTTTATTATGAAACATTTAGAGCTGTACCATTATTATTTTTATTTTTACAATAGATTTCAGGAACAAACATTATCCATATTGAAAAAAATGTTATCTATACAGATCGGGCAGATATATATTAATACAGATATCTTTCATGTACCTACTTAAAGAATAATTTTAAAAATTACAGCTGAAAATCGTAATTACCATACTGCATTTAGTGCTTCCAAGTTCCAATGTAACACACACACACACACACACACACACACACACACATATATATATATATAAATTAATTGTTTTTTGATAGTCTGGATTATTGTAAACAATTGTTCGTTATATATATATATTATGTTTTAAATGTATTTTCTTTTAAGACACTTATCGAACATTTTGCTTATTAGAACATTTTATGAACTTTTTATCCACCATCAATAATAGTCCTAAAACATTTTAGTTTGTAAAAAATATAGACTAAATTCGTTAAAATATCTATACATAGTAAATATATTATTAATTGTCTCCGCGTAATTTTACTATTTTCTTATTAAATAATATCACCGTATATTCATGTACATTTATATAGATATAGCTTATATATCTGTAGTACTCCTCTGAATTATATCGGATATTGGTTTTCAATTTAAATGTTGTCAATAAACTGTGTACTTTTCAACAAATACTCGTATTATTGTTTTCTTTCACCTGTCCTAGTAGAGGTATGAAATTCATTATTGTATCATAATCGAATATAAATCATTTCTAAAGTTGAACTGTATTGAAACTATGTTTTTAAAATTAGTCAGAACATTGTAAGTATTTTTGATGAGCTTTTTATAATTAAGTCGACTAAATAATATGTTACATCATAACCGCTATTACATATCTAATGGTGATATATTTGTATTTTACTCCATTCTTTTATTTATTATATCACAATATTCTTCGATAGTTTTTTAAATTTTTCGGGGTCGATGATTAAATAATAATTATCACTTTTAGATTACCCATACGATGTTACCTAATTTAGTAATCTTCACGACTTAATGGTACTTTTATATTCTTGGTTTGATATGAAAATAGTTTTATTAAATGTTCAACAAAATTAAATATAAAAATAAAAGTAATTAAACGCTTCAAATAAATAGTCATGAATTCTTTAATTAATTACGCATTTCCAACATTCTCTATTTCCATAACACAATGTAACATCATAACGAACAACAAATAAAACGTAATATATTTTTTGAAAAAAATTAAAAATAAATGAATAAATGAAAAAAAATCTTCAATCAGTGTTTATAAGAAAAAAAACCTTGTGGAATCAACTTTTCGAGCTTATTAAATAAGAAGAAAAATAAATTTTACTTTATAGTATATATATAATAAGTATTATATTTTATTTTTGGACATGAAAATGAATGATAATAATAATAAAAATACAGATTATTTTACTTTTATTGATTATATTTTTAAATAAGTATATACAATAATAATTACATATAATAATTATTTAATTTATCAATTCGTGATCAATTCATAATGCTAATATTCAAAGAAGAATATACTTTCATTTTATTCGTATTGTATAAGTCTTATAAAATAAAACGCAATTATGTTATTCTGGTTTGAATGTTATAAAATATTGTAAGATAAGTCTACACCACGTGTAAAATAAATCATTAGAACTATTAATTTTAAAACTAATTATTGTAAATATTATGTTTATTATGACTGATTTGTATTGATTTTTTTTTCTTGGTATTTTCCCCAATGTATCTGAAATCACTGTTTATATTTGGATGACTATGAAAATATATTGTTTTTTTTTTTTACTAGTAATGTCTTATAATTATTATTTCATATTATACAATTTTAATAACATATATATTGTATAATCATAAAAATGTCAAGTTAGACCACGTCGACAAATCTAACTTGACATAAGTACAATACCGTTCTAATATATGCAACGTATAATATTAATAAAACAGTGCATATACATTCATAAAATATATTTTCATAGGTTACACAAGTGCATAATAATATAATATTTGTGTGTTTAAGACTGAAAATTTAAATTACATAAATATTGCTGAATCAAACGATTGGTAATTTTATTTTACGACAAAATAATCATTGTCAAAATGGACATTTGGAGAAGCTATTTTCTATTTTTATTTTTTTACCAAAATTTACCGTTAAATATTTTTGCTTCATTTATTAATTTTCGAGTATTAACCATTTACTGATTTTTAATTTGTTCTAATTGTTTATTAATTTATTAAATATTTTTTATCAATAAGATCTTCATATACACATATTTAGATAAAAAAAAAAAAATAAATAAAAAAATAAATAATGTTACATATATTCCTTATACGTAAATAATACCTACATTGTAATATTTAAACTGATAAATACTTTATAAATACTTAAGACAATACGTTGAGACGAAATATTTTATTGCAAGATTATACTCGAGTGGGCCAAAAATGCAGGCGAAGGTACATCAGTTCGAGTCTTTTGTCTCTAGGCAACATCATACGAGTGTGTTTACTGTTTGAAATAAAGTAAAATATTACAGTAAAAAAAGACAATATTAAAGTACCAGACTAAATCGAAAAATCTCCCGAATGCAACTGTGTTCTATCAATAAATATATAAACACAATGACATTGATAATATTCTGTTTAATTATATATTTTAAAAATGATTGTTACAAAATATAAATAAATGCACCTTTTATAATACACGAATATAAGTGCGGTTTTGTTTTAAAATTAAAATGTTATACTTTTACTAAATCTACACAGCTACATAAGCATAATATAATTGTAAAATAATCGAATTACACGAGTAATGGCGTACCTGTATGCGATACGGTACACATGGTTATTAGTAGAATTCAAAACGATTTATAAAAATAAAAAAATATCTTACTCTAATACTACATTGTTCTTAAAAAAAAAAAAACCACATAAACTATACGCGGTCGATAACTATAATAATAGGTAAGATAAATAAATATTAGGTACAAAATAAATATATTGTTAAAGTGTATAAAATTAAATACGACCGGAGTACGAAAGATACGTTCTACGGTTATAATACTGTCGATTCATCAGCCGTAGGACACGGTATAACCCATGTTGGCCATGAGCGAGTCCTTTAAGACGGGTTTAAGAGTGCGTTCCATGTGTTTGGCCAAGAGCGACCGAACGCCCCGGACGAACACGTCTTCCATTTCCATGAGAAGCTGGTCCTGCGACTGTTGATAGTGACCGTTGGCAGAAGCCACGGTCAGCAGCGGGTGTTGGGGCTGGGTGTTGTGGTACTGTATGCGACGGATTCTCGGTTCCGGGCTCGGGGCCGGCGGGGCGACGAAACCGGCTGGAACGAACGGGGGACCGGCACCGACGGCCGGCGCTGTCGGCGCGGCCGGTGTGGTCTCTTCGGAAGACGACGAAGAAGACGGGCGACGGCCGCCGCTCCGCTTGTCGCTGAACGTCGAAAAATCTATGCCGTCGTCCAGGTTAATGTCCACGTCTCCGCCGGCCAACAGCTCGTCGCTGCCGGCCAAGGCGTCCTCGGAGGACAGGATCTGCTCGTAACGGTCCGAGGACGCGGAAGGGTGTTCCCGGTTGCCCGGCAAAGCCGCTGCGCCGCCCACGCAGTTGTACGAGTGGACGCTGATGTAAGCGGCCGCCGGGTCGACGGGTTCCGGGTCGATGAACGTGGCAGTGGTGCGTATGGTCATCGTGGGCATTGCCGTCAGACGGTTGGGCGGCGATTTCTCCGGCATGGTGAGCGGCGCGGCCGTGAACCCCAAACCGGCCCGGGGCCTGAGCCGCAGCGTCATGTCGCATCCGGTTTCACCCGGCACGCTGCCACCGCCACGGCCGCCGTACAGCAGCCGAACGGAACCGGACACCATTAGGGTGCGTCCAAACCGCATGCGTGCCTCAAGCGTGTTGCCCAGCGGGTCGTACCGACACACGTCCACCCTTGCCCACGGGCGGCCGTCGTTTTCCTGCGACCACGGTTGGTCGGCTGCGGTGGTCGCGTCGCTGGGCGGCATAACTTTGGCGCGCATCCCGGTCACGTACATTTCGGCACCCGGGGCCGTGCGCAACCGTTGGTGCAACGCGTAACCGGACAGGTCCATGAAGCCCGTGGACGAGGCGGTGTGACGTCGGTTCCCATTCTTGTTGCCCGTCACCCCCGCGGCCCCGGCCACCGTGGCCGCTGACATCATGTCGCCGATCGCGGACTGCACGCGGGCCATGCACCGGCCGTCCTCCGACGGTATCGCCCCCGCGGACGCGCCCTGCAGCAGCGTGATCGTCGTGTACGGGTTTTTGTTGGTTATCTTAGGCGTGGATCGCTTGTGCACCCGGTGGCCGGTCCATCGTATCGGTGATGTCGTCGGTAGAACTGCGAAAACAGAAGAAGAAAAAAACCGACGTAAATAGTACAATAACATACCCGGCCGACTTCACAACAAGTCAACGGATCACAATTGTTCACGGTCCGCGCGCAAGTATTACTCTTGGTCGCTGTTGGTTTTTTTTTTTTTTTTTCATAACACAATTCTTATTAGACGGTGACAATAGTGTTGACTTACTTCGTCCGCCTATGGAAAATGATTTTTGTTGAAATTGCTGATAATCGATATTGCTTATAACCGCCGCTAATGAACCGAAACCACGTCCACGCTCTGCGGCCGGCAGCGACATTACGAGCAAAAACGTCCATATCTTTAACGCCATCTGTCGATTAAAACATCGTACCGAAAAAAATACACGGTATTATTTAGTAACAACAATAATTCAATAATCGTTCTACACGTAATTCGATTCCATGTACTCGATATAATCAATGATTGACCGATGACAATGTTGAATGTTGTACACAGTGTCAAGACATTTGAATAGTTTTTTCAAATGACTAAAAATTAATGCATCGAGGTTATATAGGTTCAATCGTGTACCGGTTTATACGTGATTATCGATTGTAATCGTAACAAATCATTCAAACGTCTTACTGCATATATTTTAATTACGGAGCGACGAGATATGGATCAAACATTGTTGAATAACCGCGCATGACTACGCTAGTAGTATACCGTAGAAAAGTAATGATAGGTGACATCGTTTTCGAACCAGTCGTACTGCTGTGACGTCTGAACGGTTAGTGTTAACTTGTTTTATTAGATACACAAAATTATAAAAAGTAAGTTGGACTCGGCTGCGTTACCCGTTATTCGCGTGGTACGATAGCGTGGTACGAGACCCGTATACATTTTAAGTTATGTGCTTATTTAGAAATCGAAAACGTTTATTTTTTGTCGGCCCGCAGTTGTTTTGTTTTCTTTCAAATTTCGATTCGACTTAATAACGAGCAACTGCAATAGGCAATCGACGAATAATAATTTACCGCGCACGCGTACGATAAAATATTTAAACGAACTCAGGGGCCGTATTTAGGAATTTGATACCAGGGGGCAACTATAAGGAACGCTTCATTATACCAAATACAAATTTCTGTGGGTTGAAAAAGATCTTTCTGAAGAACAATTCGTTGCTGGCGTACACAAAAACATTCCAAGTGCTATGTCAACATAAGGATAGATTGTTTGTAAACCTTTGAATCTATCGACAGTACTCGACCGTTACCGAGTATGTGTGTCGTGACGCCGCGATATGCATTTTATTTTGAGTTATATTTTTTATTTTGTAAATAAGTTTCACTTCAAAAATATTAGATCATTAAATATTGAAAATATAAAAATGAACGGCCCTCTCATATTCAGCCGCCCGGGGCAACAGCACCCTGTAGCTCCCCCCTAAATACGGTCCTGAACGAGGTGCGCTCAACGTGCACAATATCCTCCGACCACTGG